GAGGTGATATAGGAGGTGGGTTCCCTTTCCCAAGTCCATGTAACTTTGAAGTGTATCTACATTATAAAAGGCTTATGATGTCAGTGTTTTGAAAGTTAAGCAGGAAAAAAAGGGTTATGCTGGGAGCATGCCCACTCTGTCATGCTGTCTGATGGCTGCAGAGGGGGAAGGTGGCTGTAGATAGGCCCTTGTGGCAGCTCCATATTGAACTGGCACCTTGGGAACAAGGCTAATAATTAAAATAGGTGTTCTTCAGATGCTCACATGTGTATGAACTGAGCTTAAAGAGGAAAGGGAGTGAACTAACTAAAAGGTGGATCTAACAGAATGGAGGGCCCATCTTCTGCCTTTTCCCCTTTCTCACCCCTGCCAAGATTGCCCGGTTACCTCTCACAAGTACAGACAGATGAAATCATGCCTGGCAACAATAAGACTGCTGAGGATATCAATAAAAAGAAGAGCATCACCCAGCCCCCAAACCAGAGCGACTTCCGACAGGTGAACCCACGAGTTGCGAAGTTTACTTACTCCACAGACAATACCTTTGAACAGGAGATTTACTTTGGTAATAAAGCTGGGCCCTGTGGAAGGGGCAGAGGTGGACATAGGCCAGGGATAGGGAAGGTTGCTGGGTGCTAGAAAGTCATGGGTGTGAATGGGAGACCCTGGATGACCCAGGTTTTCACAGTAGCATCCTCTGGTCACTGGTACAGGAGGGGAGGCAGTGATACCCAGTGGGGAGGGAACTGTTCTCTCTCTTCCTCCTCTATCCCCCTGTCTTACTAAGGGAGCAAGTGGAGGATGTACTATAAAGTTGGCAAGATTTTGGGAACAACCCATCTTTTCTCTGTCCACCCTTCTTCCTTCTCTCATTTTGAGATATTTCCCCCCTAAGGTGCTATGTTGGAAAAAAGAAAATCATGGGCTTTGAAATCAAATAGATTTGAGTTTAAATCCTTCTGAGCATTAAGTACCTTATTTGTAAAACAGTGTTAACAAAATCCTTCTGAGCGTTAAGTATCTTATTTGTAAAACAGTGTTAACAAAATTGCACTTCAAGTAGGTAAGAAAGCATCTATAACGTATAAAGTATGCTTCTTGCCCAGCGATTGTCACATAAAAGGTGCTCAGTAAATGCCCACTACCCTCCCTTCCCATCTTGCCATCCTTTAGAGCCTGGGCATCCAGGACACCTGATCTGGGTTACATGTACCAAGCTGTTTCTTCCCACCTCCCATCTTGTTCCTAGACTGCTGTCAGCTGAAAGTTTTCTTAAATAATGTTTAACAAAATTATTCTGACTGAGGTATTAATGCCAGATGGGATTAA